CACGCCCCCTCCAATGACATCACGCTCCAAAGCCCTATTCCCCCTGCACTGTTTATCTGCTTCTGTGTCACAGCTGCTGACAGGTGAAAGCGTATGCTTGAAACGCTGAAGCCGTATCCCCTCTGTGTATATATTCATCGCAGCCGAGCTGCACAGTGCCCAGGCGACAGCGTATGATTGAACGCTGAAGCCATGTCCCTACTGTGTTTGCTCAGCATAGCTGAGCTACTCGCTAGCCGGCAGCTGCACAGCATGTCCGACCGGCGCATAAGCCTATTTTCGAGGCGATAAGCCGGGGAAACAGCAGCTGATATGCCCTACCGACCCGGGTTAGGAGGCTGCAAACGCTCACTTGCTGACCGCAGCACAGTAAGCCCGAGAAGCGGCAGACACGCCGGGGAAATGCAGCCAGGCCTGGCCTGTACAAGGCTAGGGAGATCGGAGTGGGAGTCGGGCCATGGGAGGGCAACTACGGGGGACCGGGGCTGAGGGAGACCAACCAAGGGGGGCTATGGGCCAGCTAAGGGGAACCAAAGCTAAGGGATACCAGGAAATACCAGGGGAATACCAAGGGAGAGGCAGGGCCCATGGAGGCTGCTGAAACAGGCTTCTGACGGACGCACATACATACAGCACTCTCAAAGTAAGGCACACACACAACACAAGTGGAGATCAAATGATCACCGGTGTTATGTCTGCACAGCTGTGTTATACGTGAGCCTTGGGGTTTGGCCGGGCAAGCCGGGGTGTGGCCGGCAAGCCAGGAAGCCGGGGTGTGGCGTGTGGATACTTAAAGAAGTATCCACACGCCACAACCAAGGGGCATATAGAATATGTAACGATGTGGAGAGATTGTCTAGATATGCTAGAGAACTATAGTTTTTGATTGGCTGATGTAGTGCATTTTTCCACCAATAGGAAAGAGGGCGTCATGTTTTTTTGTTGTCATGTTTGGATCTGCATTTAGGTTAGAGTTGATGGAATTATGAATGCAGGAAAGTACTATAAAAATTTTATTTATCATGCAATACCATCTGGAAAACATCTGCTTAGTAACAACATCATCTTTCAGCACAGTGATCCCAAAAACATTGCCAGCACAGTATAAGCATACCTGGACATTATCATTGTTGGTTATGGATTTCAGAATCAGAATCAGAA